TTTGCTTTTAGGTTGGAGGTCATCGCTATTAGGTTGGAGGGCTTTCACATCATTTGACCACCTTGTCTTTTTCTGTCACGCCATCTCCTCGTGTCATTTTACCAGATACCCCCATGCCGCATTTGATTTCTATTTGCCCAACTGAGTCACTTGGTTTTTTTAATTGTAATGTGCGGTCTTGACAGCCCGACCTCACCTTATCCTGCGTTGTTGCATTGTACTTTTGTTTATTTCGTTCGACATCATCTTTTCGTCCACTTGTTACTTGTAGCGATGCACTTGTTCCAAGTAGCGTGGCACTTGTTTCTAATAGCTTCTTGTTACTACTAGTAAGGCACTTGTTACTAGTAGCGATGCACTCGTTCTCTGTTCGACATCATCTTTTCGTCCACTTCACCTCGCCCTGTTGAGACCTCAACATGGGAGGGGTGGAGCCTCCCTGCATCTTGTCAGACCCCATTGTGTGGATCAGTTGGACGGATTCCTTGGAGTCTTCTTGTTACTACTAGCTTCTTGTTACTACTAGTAAGGCACCTGTTACTACTAGCGTGGCACTTGTTACTACGTGGTGGTTGAAGCATGTTCAAACCAATCACATAAAATGGCTGTAGAGGGAGGCCCCGCAGTTTTGCATTCAAACAATGGCAGTGAAGACTCCTGGACTATTTTGGACATGGATGTAATTCTGAGGGGAAGCGATCTATTAGATAAACTGAACAATTGACGGAAGCGCTCAAACTACTTGTCTAGACAAGTGAGGCGCCTTTGGTCAGAGAAACCTCTGCAAGAAGCCCCATCGCTATTACTGATAGGTTGGAGGCCATCGCTAGTAGGGTGGAGGCCATCGCTCGTAGGTTGGAGGCCATTGCTATTAGGTTGCATCTGCTGGGGAGTGGCTTGGATGTTTGTACCGGGCGTGACAAAACGGATTGGACATACATCTTTGCTTGATTAGAGTTGGTTCGACAAGCGTGTGGTGGGGTATGTGCCTGTCTCCAAGGGCTTTCAAGTCTTTCAACGAACCTTCCACAAGGAACTTTTGCCTAGACTCCGTGGCAGTTTTTCAATTACAAACCTTGCACGTTGAAGCAAGGGAGTTTTGGTTCTGTAGAGTGCAGAGCTCAACGAAGATCCCGCGCACAGAACGTTATATTCCTGTAAGGAACGATTTGGGTGGAGGCTATCTCTATTGGGTTGGAGGCCATTGCTACTAGTTTAAGTTTCCCTAAAAATCTAGGAACCAAATGAATAGCGCGAGCGCTTATTCAAGAAAGCTTCCCCGAAGGCGGCCGGGGGAGCTTCCTTGAAGAAGCGTGAGCTATCCTGCGTCCTGTTGGTAGTAGCTACTTGAGCTACTAGCTAAGTAACTACGTAGCTGCCTAGCTACCTCGCGGCCTATCCCCCCCAACAATAACAAGAACTTAAGTTTGGTCATCGCTAGTAGGTGAGAGGAGATCGCTTCCTGGGTGGATCCTATGCCATCGCTACTAGGTGGAGGCATCGCTGTTAGGTTGGAGGCCATTTCTATTAGGTTGGAGCCCACGTGGCCACGTGGGCTGTGAGGGGGATGCTGATCGGGCCGAGCTGGAGAATAAAACCGAAAGCGTCGTTCTCCTGTTTCACCTTGCGTGTCGCCTCAACCGTTCTCCTGACTTCTTCTTGTTTCACATCTTTTTGTCGACGTTCAGCTTGTGGTATTTTTGTGTTTGTTTGTATTAATTTCTGCTCATGTTCTGTCCAGATGCCTTGAATCAATCCATGCATCTGAGGTGGGCCTGCGCATGCATATGGTTCATGCCTCACTCCCTCAAAGCCCAACCAACGAGCTCTTTCTGCACGTCCCTTTCGGAGAGTCCGAACCGGGGAGCATCGACAAGAAGAAGCATTTCGGGGAACGTGCGAATCGTTGAACGTTTCGCATGAGCCTTCCAGCGTGGAGCTTGAGGGTGAAGAGCGAAGCGTCAGAAAGAGTGTCCGGAGTATCTCGTGTGAAACAGCTGAGACCGAAGAACGTGGTTTCATCAGCTCAACACCAGATGATGTGAAAGTTGACAGTGTGAAAGTTGAGGAGAAACCCACTACTAGCGCTGCTAGTAGCCTCACTTTTCCAGACACACCAACATCTGTGACGTCGCCTTCCCCGAAGAGGACCAAATTGCCAGGTCTGAAGACTGCAGTCAAGACGGCGAACCTGATGCTGGAGTCGAAAAACGATGGGAACTCTTTCGACTCTTTCCCGCCTTGTTCGAAAAGTGGTCGACCAAGTCCAAGTCTTCGAAAAGACACATTTGGAACAGGTCTTCGCCCAAGTCCAAGGAACATTTGCCGACCAGCTCTGTCTGGCCGAAGATTCTCCACCGCCTAAACATGTTGAAACCGGTGAGGAAAGCAAAGCGAGAGAAGCCACGCATCTACTGCTCAGGTTTGCCTATGCTTATCGGCATTCTCTCGCAAATACTTTCTCTGTCCATTGTTTTTCCTGCATGTGGGTTGCATCCATGTCCGACATCGATATTTATCCCACGTGCAGCTGTGGACTGTCCAGTGTTTATCTACAATTTTGGAATGATTTTCGGTATTTTTTTTGTGTAGACTGTCTAGCAACACCAGCTGAAGACATCAGATCATCAGTGGTGTGATTCGGTGTCCGGCCCAAGGAGGCCTGAGCCAGAATGTTTCTTCGGTGTTTGTGGCCTTATATCCCATCCTTAGAGCCCATGGCCGGCATCCCTTCTTTAAACAGGCGGATGTCGCGACTGGCGGCCCAAGGCTCTGCTTGAGGCCTTTTTATTGGCCAGGACGCTACTAGTAAGAAAGGGCATCGCTACGAACGGAGGAACGACGCTACTAGGGGCGCTCCTGGCCTTACTACTAGTAACAAGAAGCTACTAGGAACAAGGGCATTGCTGGTAGTAACAAAGGGCATCGCTGCTACTTCATCTCCTGTATATGCGGAGGAATGGTGACAGCTGGCCTTACTACTTGGTACACCTAAGGCTTTGCCTAAGGCTTTGCCTGTGTACGCTTTCTTCGCCTGGCCTAGCTTTACGCCCTGGTGTAGTCGTACGTCCAGCCGCCGAAAGGCCCAGCACTCGACTGGGAATAACCTTTGGGAGTCAGACTAGCGATGGCCTCCAACCGAATAGCTTCTAGCTACTAGTAGTAAGGCCAGGAGCCCCTAGTAGCTTCTTGTTACTACTAGTAAGGCACTTGTTACTAGAAGCGATGCACTTGTTCCTAGTAGCCTATTGTTACTTAGTAGTAAGGCCAGGAGCCCCTAGTAGCTTCTTGCTCCTAGTAGCGATGCCCTTTGGGACTACTAGCGATGGCCTCCAACCCTACGGGCTCAGCTGCAATTCCCCCAAGTCTGTTTCAAAAGAGCCGCGGGAGCGCCCCCAGCGTGTGTCCAGGATAAACTTCGGATAATCAGAAGTTGTGGGAGCTTTGAAGACCATGCAGAGTATCTCAGAGTCAAAACATGCAATTGTTATTTCTGTCATAAACATCACAAAGATGTCAGGTAGCCAATGCTGCCAATGCTCAAGACCCCCAATGAATTGGATGCAAAGGTCAAAACCTAGCGCTTCAAAAGGCATGCTGGATGTACCAAGACCTACGCTGCACATGTACCTCTTCTGTTTTCTTTCTCGGCGGGACAAGACTGACAAAGCATTTCGACTAGCTTACAGAAGCTGGGCGGGTCGACCCACTTGTTCTCGTCAGGGCCAGGCAACTTTTTGCGCAGCTGAAGACACAGAGCGAAGCCAGATTTTGCAACCAAATGTTGTAGAATTTGGCACGTGACGTGAGATGCGAAGGCAGATGAAGAGTTTGAACGAGGTTCTAGTTATGGAGTCCTAGGAGGACGCTACTAGGGGCTCCTGGCCTTACAACTAGGAGCAAGGACGCTAGTTATGGAGTCGTTGCCAAGGTCTTTTGGGGAAACAAAGGACATCGCTACTAGGAGCAAGAAGCTACTAGGGGCTCCTGGCCTTACTACTAGTAACAAGAAGCTACTAGTAGCTAGAAGCTTTTAGGTTGGAGACAATCGCCACTCATCAGCGATCGTTGCCAAGGTCATTTTGTTTTTGGCGGATCGCTGATGAGTGCCGTGAGCGCCCGTGAGCGCTCCCTTACAATGTGTCCTAGTAATCTACCCAGAGCCGCGCGGATCAAGCGAATGCTAGGCTATCCAGAGAACGCTTTCACGTCCACCACACACAAGCACTTAAGTATTGTTGTTCAATCACGTGGTAGTAAGTCCTGACTTTCAACACTCGTGAAGAATCACACAACATGTGCTTTTCTGGACTTTGATGTATATCCTGACCGAGCTTCACCGAAATGGGTCACTTGGCAAAGCCACTTGGAATAGACTTTCCACCAACTCTTGAGAATCCAAGGTGCAAGTGATGAGGCGATTCTGGATTTCTGCTGATGTCTTTGCCTGTGCTGCTGTTTTGTACACCAAAAGTGCGTACTTTCTTAGCACATCCTTGAAGATGGTAGGACTCGTCAAGGAAACTTATCCCGTTTGAGAGAAACTTCCTTGAAGATGCTGAACCCTTTTGCGTCTTTGCCAGAGAGACAAGAGAGACAACAGGTTGCAGGCCATCGCTCTTAGGTTGGAGGCCATCTCTATTAGGTTGGAGGCCATCGCTCTTAGGGTGCAGGCCATCTCTCTTAGGGAGGCCATCCCTATTAGGTTGGAGGCCATCGCTATTGGGTTGGAGGCCATCATTATTAGGTTGGAGGCCATTGCTATTACTTTGTGCTTAAATTGTGCCAGGTCCAGAAAGCTCGAGTTGCTTTTCGACAGATCTTGGCGGCGCGACACATTCTTTTTTTTTCAAGACATGGGCAGTCTTTTTGGTCATTTTTTCTTCGCTTGTTCTTCGTTTTGTCTTTTAAGTTTCTTTCTTTGGACCTGTTTTGGAGAAACAGGAGGTCATATTTGGATGCTGTGTCACAACATTGTTTCTGAGCTGAAAGACCAAGCACTGAAGCCCATTTGATGGCTCCTCAGCATGGATTCGATGCTGAAATTGCGGAGTCAAGTGTGGCTCTTAGGAGTGTTTCAGACCGTTCAGATGCCCTGGCTTTTGCTTGGCACAAAAAGACCATTGGAACCAGATGCAATTACGGTCATCGGTGCGCAGTTTTCTTGAGATGCCCACTCATCCTAGTACCGATGACCTTCAACCTGACCTACTAGCGATGGGCTCCAACCTATTTCCATTTTTTGGCAGCGACGTGGAACAAAATACATGTGTCCTTTCAAATTGAATCCAGGCGTGCACTGCCTCTTTGAACAGGCTGGTGGGCACACGGCCGGGACTCCTTTCCCTTGGCGCGCGCGAAAAAGCTCCTAGTAGCTTCTTGCTCCTAGTAGTATGGCCAGGAGCCCCTAGTAGCGTCCTTGCTCCTAGTAGCGATGCCCTTTGCTCCTAGTAGCGTCAAAACTGAATTTCAGAGGCCACCTCCAGGACTTGAAGATTTTGGGCCAAGGGCGCCTTGGAAAGTGCAGACTTCGCACGCGCCATGCGCAGAATCTTGCGGTACGGCCAAGACCAAGTACAAAAGGATCAAATATGAGCAAAACGAAGCTTATTAGTATGCCGGCTTCGGTCATCTCTGGTAGGGCCGGGAATCTTCAGTAATCCGAATAGTTTTGAAATGCGTCAGACTAGGAAGTGTTGATTTTGGGTGAGGTACAATAGAATATGTTGCAATTCAGTGCGATTTCTGATTGGATGATGCTGTTTTTTTGGTGTTTGTGTGGTGATTTGCGATGCAGTGTAGTGTTGGTGCCGGCGGCATTGGGATGAAACATTTTTCATGGTCATGTGTGGTACTTTAAAACTGCCGAGCACAGCCAGCTACCTGAACACCTGGAGACGCCCGGTTGGGCAGCGATGCCCTTTGCTCCTAGAAGCTTCTTGTTCCTAGTAGTACGTCCGAACGCTCCTAGTAGCGATGCCAGGAGCCCCTAGTAGCTTCTTGTTCCTAATAGCGATGGTCTCCAACCTAAGAGCGCCAGCAAACTGCTGGAAAGGCAAACCAGAAGTCGGCCTCGTGCTGCCATTGTAATACATTTTGAGACCTCGCCAGCATTCCCATATGTAGTTGCCAAATGCCTAAGACCATGGCGGTCTTTTCTTGTGCTCCATTCTTCGCAAGAATCATGCTTCCGATCCAAGTGCTTAATTCATCCACAAACGGGTTTGCAAGAAATGACACTCATGCGCATCGAAAGAGCTGGGTTTCGGAAATAGCCTTTGTCAGAGTGGCACTTGCATCAAGTAAAGGGAACCCACTATGCCTTTGCAAAAAAGTTGCGGAGTAGTTCTGACATGACCAAGCATTCCGACGTCCTTTGTTCTTTTCGTTTTTGCCAGCATTGGATTCCTTATTTTGCGCAGATCATGTCACATGGATCATGTTTCTTCTGCCAGAAAGAGTCCAAGTGCAAATGGCCAATTGATTGCTATCCCACTAAGGCAGTTGGACTAGTGCGACGTGAGGACTGCCCATTCACTTTCAAGCGCAACACTGGTCCTTGCAGACTCTTGTGCTTCTGAAAGCGAGACCTGTAGTAGACAACGCTGACCAGTTGGCAACTCATGCTACAGGAATGTGCATTCTCGGATTGGGTGAGTTTCACGAACTCATAGAAAGGCAACAAGTTGAAGAAGGAATACCGTAAGGTACCGTACGACGTGTCTCAATCTAGCACGAAAGCAATGGCCTCCAACCTTCAAGCGATGGCCTCCAGCCTACTAGCGATGGACTCCAACCTAGAAGCGATGGCCTCCAACTGCCATAAGCAGAGCCAGCAGAGTGGTGTGTCAGGCTATGACAAAGGAGAATGACTTCTTACCGTCAGATGCCAGCACTACTGATACCGACTCGACCTCACTGACCTCACGGTGGTTCGGCGAAGGGGTTTGGAGCTCAGTGTTCTGATGACTGCGATGGTTCAAAGTGCATACATGACACTTGTTTCCAATAGCAAACATTGTTACTACTAGTAAGGCACTTGTTACTACTAGCGTGGCACTTGTTCCTAGTAGCTATGGTTAGTCACGCTGAGTCTTAGAAAACAGCGACACATTAAGACATGACGCATCATAGGGTTCTTTTCGCCGCAGTATGATTTACTTCAACCTTAAGTATATAGTCTTGCATTGTTTCTATGATTTTCCGGTATGTGCTTCTTTGATGTTGACAAAAAGGTGGTTGACTTTTTGTTTTGACCTAAGTGTTCTTTGAAGACTTTCGTTCCTTATTCCTAAGCCCAAACAACAACAGTTTACATCAACCCAGCTGACAAGGTCACACATCTACCGACGAGCCTCTTCTCAAAGATGCCAGATGACACAATATATGCATTGCCCGGAGCTGCTACTAGTAGCGCTTCTTGTTCCTGGTAGTAAGGCCAGTAGCGTCCTTGCTCCTAAGCATTGCTCTGCATTGCTCGTTCAACCGGTCTAGAGATCGACACAGTTCCAAAACGAAACACCAAGCAACAGAAAGAGACAGCAAAAGAAAGAAGCTACTAGGAACAAGTGCATCGCTACTAGTAACAAGTGCCTT